GGGAGGGAGGGAGGGAGGGAGGGAGGGAGAGAGAGAGAGAGAGGGATTGAAAAAAACAATGTTAAGACCGACGTTGGGACTATTTTTGTTTCAGACAACGGACCCCCGGATGACACTGTGACACGCTGCTGTGGGACGACAGCCTGAGAGATCAGCAGCAGGAGCTGCGATGCTGCGATGCTGCGATGCTGAGAGACCGGTCCCGTAGCTGCATCGTCTCACGGAGAGTTTTACGGATTTTAGGAAGAGGTTGTAACGGTTACGACATCAGATTTGGTCGCCGTGTGCGCCTATCGTGTACGCAACCCGCACATACATAGACGCGTTATCATGAGAGAGTTACCACACATATATTCATATATTATCATAGATGAGTTATCATGGAATTACTGGTATCGCTCAAAAACTACTGATTATGTCAATCTGATCGAGATGGCATGGAGAGTGAAGAGCCCTACATACAAGACTTCAAATGATACTCGTACCTAATTTCCAACGAATATAGTTAATAGATTTTTCCATGCGCATAGCAAATAGAGAACGGCTCTCTCTCTCTCTCTCTCTCTCTCTCTCTCTCTCTTTCTCTCTTTCTCTCTGCCCCACCTCTCTCCCTCTCTATCTCTTTCTCTGTGTCTCTCCCTTTCCCCTTCTCTCGTTACAAGAAATATGCCATGTCTTCTTTTTTTTTACACAACCTCAAGATATTAGGACGGCCGTATCAAGCGTGACGTGCAACAGCAGACGATAACAGATGCCTCATAATAGCGGCCCCGGAGCCCCGACTTACATTGCCCAGTCCTCACAGGGGCAGTAGTCCCCCCCCACCCCCACTCCCCACTCCCTCAGCAGCAGCATGCACGAAGCGTACGGTTGTTGCGGTCAGACGGGGGCACGCCGGCCGTCTCAGTGCCGGCTGAGTGCGTGCGTGGGCGCAGGCCGAGGCACGGCGGCCAGTCACCATTGTGCAGCGCCAGCCAGCAGCCATCCCACGACTAGCGGGCGAGCCATCATCTAGCCACGACGGCAGCAATCAACAGCCGAGGGAGCGTTGCTCGAGGCGGCGCGCACGCACGCACGCACGCACGCACGCACGCACGGCGGCGCGGATCGCACGACGAGATAGGGAGCTGTCGCCGCCGGCGCGCGCACGCACGCATACCTGTACATGGAAACACACTTACGGCCCGGTTGCCGCCGCCCGACGGCACAATGCGGCGGCGCGGCGGTGCTGATAAGACACGTAGAAGATGCGTGGCTCGCAACAATGCCATCGTCGCTACACGGCAGCGAGACCAACCAAGGCTGGCCGCCTCGCGATGCTGCGGCAACAACGGAGGAGAGGAGAGGAGAGGAGGAGGACGAGGAGGAGGAGGCGGAGGCGGAGAGGGAGGCAGAGGGGGAGGAAGAGGTGGCGGAGAGGAGAGGGACGGAGGAGGAGGAGGAGGAGGAGGAGGACGAGGAGGAGGCGAAGGCGGAGGGGGAGGCAGAGGTGGCGGAGAGGAGAGGGACGGAGGAGGAGGAAGAGGAGGACGAGGAGGAGGAGGAGGCCGAGGCGGAGGGGGAGGAGGAGGCGGAGCAGGAAGAGAAAGAGGCAGCGGAGAGGAGGAGAGGGACGGAAGAGGAGGATGCGGAGGATGCGGAGGAAGAGGAGGAGCAGGATGAGGAGGCGGAGGCGGAGAAGCAGCAGGAGGAGGGGAGGAGGAGGCGGCGGAGGCGGAGGGGGAGGAGAAGGAAGAAACTTCTGCACGACCGGCGGCTCAGTATCGCTGCCTACGTACGTGTAGAGTCTAACGTAGCCTAATTTATGCACACCCAAAAAAATAAGCGTGCCTGACGTGGATTCATGCACACCCAAAAAAATAAGCGTGATTAACGTGGAGATAAACAACGATTGTTTCAAGGCAAGGGAAATCAACGTGTATTTCATGCAAGACGAAATTAAATGCTCTACTACCTTGGCCAACGGTGGAAAGCACGCGTGAAGGCATGCAAGGAATGATCGTGCTTTCTCTGTTCATCTAGTTCAACCTTGCTTTGTTTTACTTTCTGTCATTATATCTCCTTGTCTGTCTCTCTTATCTCTATATCTTACACATATATGTACGGACACACAAGACATTGAACGAGAGAGAGAGAGAGAGAAAGAGAGAGAGAGAGAGAGAGAGAGAGAGAGAGAGAGAGAGAGAGAGAGAGAGAAAGAGAGGAGCGGCG